CGAAAAAAGACGTATATCCACTCCCTCGAATCGACGACGCCCTCGACCATCTTTGCCATGCCAAGTACTTCTCTCATATGGATCTGACAACCGGATATTGGCAAATCGAAGTCGACGAAAGGGACCGTGAGAAGACAGCATTTATAACGCCGGATGGACTATACGAGTTCAAGGTAATGCCTTTTGGGCTATGCACGGCACCGGCCACATTCCAAAGAGTCATGGACACCGTACTAGCCGGCCTGAAATGGCACACCTGCCTCGTTTACCTTGACGACGTCGTCGTATTTGCGCGGAATTTCGACGAACACCTGGCGAGGCTAGAGTCTGTGCTCGAAGCCATTCGTGCGTCGGGATTAACGCTGAAATCTGAGAAGTGCCATTTCGCATACGACCAACTGAAGTTTTTGGGCCACATCGTCAACGCCGCGGGTGTCCTACCTGATCCCGCAAAAACGTCAGCCATAGCAAGTTTCCCGAGGCCGAAAGACAAGAAAGACGTGCGACGATTCCTCGGTCTTTGCGCGTACTACAGACGCTTTGTGCAAAATTTCGCTAAAATCGCCGAACCGCTCACGCGCCTGACGAAAGACAGTGTTCAGTTTCGCTGGGAGGAAGCACAGCAGAACGCGTTCGGTGAACTGCAAAATCGCTTACAGCGGCCACCTGTGCTTGCACATTTCAACGATTCTGCAGAGACAGAAATGCACACAGACGCAAGTGACGTAGGCTTGGGCGCTGTCCTTGTACAAAAACAGAACGGCTGTGAAAAAGTAATCGCTTATGCCAGCCGTGGCCTTTCCAAAGAAGAAAGGAACTATTCGGCCTCTGAAAAAGAGTGCCTTGCGATAATATGGGCCATTTCAAAGTTTCGTCCATACGTCTACGGCAGGCCGTTTAAGGTAGTAACCGACCACCATGCGCTGTGCTGGCTCGCAAACTTGAAGGACCCTTCAGGCCGCCTTGGGCGATGGAACCTGCGCCTGCAGGAATACGACGTCTCCATCGTTTACAAATCCGGCAGGAAACATTCGGACGCCGACTGCCTATCACGGGCTCCCGTCGAGGAGCCGCCACAGGACCCCGAGGATGACGTCCCGTTTTTTGGTATTGTGACAGACAGTGACCTTGCCACTCAACAACGTGCCGATCCCGAGCTGCGCGCCCTAATCGAACATCTCGAAGGACACAACGCCGCAGTGCCAAGGGTTTTTAAGCGCAACTACACCACCTTCGCTTTGAAAAGTTCGGTGCTCGTGAAGAAGAACTTTGACCCTACAACGAGAACAAAGTACCTTCTCGTCATCCCCGCTGGTCTCCGTGACGAAATCTTGGCAGCGTGTCACGACGACCCGACATCGGGGCACCTCGGCACGGCCCGCACGCTGGGAAAGATAAAGGCAAAATACTACTGGCCGCGTCTCACGTCCAACGTCACCCACTACGTCAGGAGCTGCCGCGACTGCCAGCGCCGAAAAAACGCCGCCGACCAGACCCGCCGGCTTCCTACAGCCGGTTGCAGTACCATCGAGGGCCTTCCAACAGATTGGCATGGATCTTCTCGGACCGTTCCCCACGTCACGGGCCGGGAACAAGTGGATTGTAGTAGCCACGGACTACTTGACGCGCTACGCAGAGACCGCCGCGCTCCCAAGGGGAACTGCAGAAGAAGTCGCCAAATTTTTCATCCACCAAGTGGTGCTGCGACATGGAGCCCCTGGAGTACTGATCACGGACCGCGGAACGGCATTCACTGCAGAGCTTATGCAACGGGTCTTGCACTACAGCCACACGGATCACCGGAAGACCACGGCGTATCACCCCCAGACCAACGGGCTTACCGAACGCCTGAATAAGACGATCGCGGATATGCTGTCTATGTACGTCGACGTTGAACATAAGACGTGGGATGACGTACTCCCTTTCGTCACGTTCGCGTACAACACAGCTATCCAAGAAACTACTAAATTGCCCCCATTTGAGCTTGTCTATGGGCGACAGCCGACGACAATGCTCGACGCCATGCTTCCACACGTAGAAGATGATGACCTCAACACCGACGTCCAAAGGTACCTACAACGCGCGGAAGAAGCCCGCCAGCTTGCTCGAGTGCGCATAACAGACAAACACCTCGTGGATGCCGGACGCTACAACCTCCGACGCCGCGACGCCGATTATGACCCAGGTGATCTTGTGTGGGTTTGGACCCCTATTCGACGTCGCGGACTCAGTGAGAAGCTCCTGCGTCGGTATTTCGGGCCCTATAAAATTCAGCGACGTGTAGGCCCACTCAGCTACGAGGTTGTCCCCGACAGCGACCATGGCATGTCACGACGACGCACGCGGCCCGAAATTGTCCACGTGGTTAGGCTTAAGCCTTACTACGCCAGATGACTGACTTTTTCTTGACTACTTTTTTTTTATTAGTAGCATCGGGCCGATGCTCTTTTTTTCGCGGGGGGCAATGCCGCGAACTATGCCTTCTCGTCTGTGTTTCGTGGCGAACATCTGGCTGCGCCCGATCGTGCTATCTGTTGTGGGCCGCACCCATACTGTGCCGCAAGCGAAGTGCATGTTTTCCTCCTCCCTCGGACTATCTCATTTTGATAGGGAGAGCGTTTCGCGGTGGGCCGTTCCTTCACCACCTGGATTTATCATTCTTTGGCATTCATTTTCAGAGCACAGGTTCGCTCTAATAAAAAACTAGTTTTTCCCAAGAACTCTGCGTCGTTTGTTAAAAACGAGTTTGTTAAAAAGTACAGCTCGAATGGCCACAGCCTCCAGGGCCGTTTGGAGCTTCAAATGCTGGCATGCTATACTACGATCGACTATAATGGCTACACCGCCAGATGGTACGACAGGATCCTCCCGGTCTTTTCGGAAAATAATATATTGTCGTAGGAAGTCCTTGTGCTTAGGAGTTAAGTGCGTTTCTTGCACACATAGCACTTTCGCATTAAACTTACACAGAAGTTCTTGGACGTCATCTAAATTTCTAAGTATTCCCCTTACGTTCCACTGTATGATGTTGTCCATAGTGAAAAAAAGGAAGGGAAAAGTGCTGTGTGCAAAGAAGACGGGGATTAACTCATTTTACAGGGCCTTTGTCAGGCCCTGTAATCGGCGTTCTGTCCTTTTTGGGGCGGTCGAGCGAAGCTCACCGCTCCTTCGGCGCTTCCTGCGCCGTTTGGCTTGAACTGGTGTCCATAGCCTCTTGCGAGGCACTAGACGATCTGTGCGTCGCTTAGACTTCGCCTCGGTCGACGAAGTCTTTGTCCCTACCGAGCTGGGGGTCGATGGAGCCCCCTTGGCCTCGTGATTGCCCTGGCTGCCGCCAGAGCTTGTCGAGGTCGCTGGTGTGGACAGGCTGAATTTGGGCAGGGCAGCGCTAGCTGCTCCCGCCGTAGGGGCTTGTGGCATTGGCCTCGGCACGCTAGGCGAGGTCCGGGCAAATGCCAAGGGCCTTTGTGGTGCCGCCCCTCGTTGCACCACTTCGGCGAAAGGTGTTTTCAGTGCCAATGTTAGTGAGACCCGTTGCCTTGCTTCCCTGAATGTGGTATTTTCCTTTACTTTTATAGTTATTATTTCTTTTTCTTTTTTCCAGGCTGGGCACGCTCTGGAGTATGCGGGGTGACTACCTTCGCAGTTAGCACAGAGGACCTCATCATGACTACATTCATCAGCACTGTGGCCGGTTGTGCCACACTTAGCACAGATCAGCTGCCCTCGGCAGCTCTGGGATGCATGACCAAATCGCTGGCATTTGAAACAATGCCTCGGATTAGGAATGAAGGGTCGGACATGGAGTTTTATATAGCCAGTTTCGAGAGTCTCAGGTAAAGTGGTTGAGTTGAAGGTGAGTATTAAGTGCTTTGTTGCTATTTCATTGTTGTTGCGTCTGATTATGATGCGCTGGACATGTATTACACCTTGGTCCTTCCATCCATCAAGAAGCTCTTCTTCACTCAGTGTCATCAAATCTTCGTCCGATACCACGCCCTTCACTGTATTCATTGTACGGTGTGCACTCACAGAGGCGGGGATGTTACCAAAGGCTACGAGGTGCGAGAGTTTATTGTACTGTTCCTTGTCTTTTAATTCGAGAAGCAGATCTCCACTTGCCATCTTCGTGGCCTTATAACCGGTTCCAATGGTCTCTCTCAAGCACTTGGCCACAAGAAAGGGTGAGATTGCTCTAGCTTTTGTAGATTGTTCGCAGTGGAGGACATGGTATTTTGGGAAAGTTTCTCTGTTTTTCGACCAAAGTAGTGAAGTTGCGTCGGTGCGTACCCTTTTCGAGGCACGATCATTTAGAGAGGGGGTCGAGGATCCCATGGGAAAATGTGTATTTTTCGGTAACGGCGCCTACCACCCACCACGGAGTCCAACAAGGGGACGTGGCAGAGCATGTGGGCATGTCTGCGCAACGCCAGCAGTACGCAGTTACTATAACCCAATATGGTTTACCCTAGTTTGGATAGCCACACAAGGTTAACCCTTGCCGCCAGGAAAAATTGGAAGTAAAATGAAGTGAGGAGAAGACAGGAAAGATGTAAAGTGAGAACAAAAGACGAAGATGTAGGGAGAGAGAGATAGGAAAAGGCGACTGCCGATTTCCCCTGGGTGGGTCAGCCCAGGGGAGCCGTCTACGTGAAGCCGGGGCCAAAGGGGTGTGTTGCCTCTGCCGGGGGGCCTTCAAGGTCCAATCACCCAGCGTCGGCTCAACCCCCAGGATCCCCTTTTCCCCGGACACGGCAAAGCCACGCACGGCTAGGCGTGGGAGGGAGTAGAAACTCCCCCGTTAGCTCGGGTCCGTGGTGTCGCTACACACCAAACGCCTACTTGCGCAGGCGCCCCTGCGGGCAAGCACATTGTTTAGAGCATTCAATACAGGTGCTACAATTAATGACCATATAATTAAGGACAACACATCCTTAGAATACAGGTGCTCAAGAAATTCCTGAGCATTGATACAGTTGCACTGTGAAGAAATGAACTACCTTTGGACGAGGTAGGGCCGCAGGGAGTCTGCTATGTCACTGTGATGCACGTACATGCTAACGATTTGAGGCAGGTAGAAGTCCACGTCGGCATCACTGAAGCTGAACATTCTGTTGCCTGTGGGATGAAAGAGCACCAGCGTTTGAGCTACACGCAAAGTACACTCGCATGCATAAGAAGGACACTCACCTAAGTAGGCAAGCACCCCTGGCTCCTTTGAACGAAACAGGTAGTCTATGGCAAGAGGCATGTCAAACAATGTAGACTCAAACAACCGTAGCAGCAGATCCTTAGGTACGAGTCGTTCCCCTGATGGCATCGGTGTGGTGTCCTGCACACAATAATCAGTCTGCCCACCTTTAAAACTAGCTGGCTGTGCTTTGACTCAGCAGCTCACACAATGTGATCCTTAGCATGCACATTCTCATTTTTACTAAAAAATTATTTTGACTGCACATGCACTTACAGGGTGAGAGAACTTGTGCTTGAGCTTCACCTTTAAGAGCTGATAGTAATAGCATAATCAGGCCTCATATGCATCACCTTCTGAACTGCTAGCGTGCTTCAGTTCATGGTGCATGCCTCAACCCTGCTGTAAAGAATAATACGGCTGAGCGCGTCTCCTAGTAGCACTGAATGCGTACTGTGAGAGCAGTTGTTACAGGTGTACTGACACAAAATTTCTCACTTGTTTTTTATAGCGAAAGCTGGTATGAGATCACAACACGAGTCATGCACAGCACCATAGTTGTCCGTTGCCACCGGTGTTCGTAACCACTATCGCAAAAGTAAAAAGTAAACTGAAAGAAAACCGTTGCCGTAAATTTGTAGTCACTTTAGACACCATTGCTTAGCTATTCTGATGGTGCAGTCGGGTGACACATAGTTGCAGATGCAGTTGTGGCGCAGGTAGTCAGTTCGAATCTCGTCTTTTTATTTTTTTGCTTTTATAGAAATGCATCAATAATGACGTTACTGCTTTTAAGGAGTCGTAATCTTGCTTTTTATAAGAAAACTCCATCGCTGTTTGTGCCAGTTGTTAGCCCTACCATGTGAATTTTTCGAGGTGCAGTGCTCTTACTGAAATGATTGGAGAAGTTTTTATTTGCTTTTTTTTTTACTGCTGCACGAGGTGACCATGTTGAACCCCCTACGGCACCTTCCCTCATCGTAGAACACACTGACGCTGCTAGATGCACGTTTATTCTTGCATACTCGTTTCATTGACTCGGTCACGCCTTGTGGTTTACTCAAGCCCGCACCAGCAAACACTAGCAAACCCAGACAACCGGCCACGCCCACGACTTCGGCACGCTCACAATTTAATCACCGAGAACGATACAGAACATGTTTCGCTCCCACAGGAGAAGCGTTGTCTCAGGATGGGAAAGCAGCTACAAAGAGCACACTACCGTGCGGGTGCCTACTTTACTGCACCTTAGAGAGCTCGAATATCTATCAACGTTTGCATAGCAATAGCACACATTCATGAAACGACAACAACGTGCATATCCCCTTCTTTGAAGGAGCCGATTTGATCCCACGAATAAGTCTGTGTGTGTGATTTCAGGTGAAGTAGGCCCAAAGAAGGAGCTACTTGTATTATAGTCATATGTATTGTGGATTTGGGACTTAACCATACTGTCCAACTGCACAGCCCTCGGGGTTGCAACACATTCTATGTTGACCTGCACAATGTTTGGCATCAGCCCATATGTCGCCTTTATGCAGCGACACGAAAAAATACGTGGAACAGTTTGATTTGGAAACTTGATTTGGAAACATCACATTATATGTAACAAATTATTAGTTAGAGCTACAGTATCAATGCAAAGGACCAAAATCCCCACTGGGGTGGTGGTTCAAAAATATAGTTAATTCGCACACATACAACGAAATCAGCTCGCCCAGCACCCCAGTATCAATCGGAAATTATCAGAAAATGTCTTCATTCCACGATGGACGTAAAAGAAAATTGATACATTCAAACCCCGCTACAACGAGAAACTGAAGGGGCGCGGCAAAAATTTCATTGAAGCAAAAATTTCGTGGAAGTGAAATAAAAAAATTTATAGCCGATCTGAACTAGCAAAGCAAAGGAACGTTTATTCTCAAAATTCAAAAAGTGTCCACTCCTTTTTATTCGATCCCAGCAGTGTCACAACGCAATTCCCACTCATGCATAGCGAGGCCATGGTGAAAAGCACACTGAAACAATGACTACAAGCACTTTCGTGAACGAACAAAACAGTTTCATTAACACGTTAACACCAGCAGCTTAGCTGTCCGCTGTCAAAACGACCAGATGGCAGCAGGGTATTGTGGAGCGATGACTTTTGCCTTATTTTATGCCATTCTCATCATCCATCACTCGCGGCTAGCTGATTTTGTTGATAATGAGGACGAACAGTCGCTTTGATTAGTTACCACACTGGCCACGGGCGAACAAAATGATAAACACAGGAATCGAAAAAGGCACTGTACCGCAGATGCACCCAGCAGCTGCGCGAAGGAAACCATGAACTAAGCAACTGAGCTTCAGCTTCGAATCGTCTGTGGCTATACAGTAAATTCAATCTTTAATATTTTGATGCATATTCAGAACCCAAAAATACGTTGAAGTCTAAAACACGTGTTTGCACCACCAGAAACTACCGCTGTTCAGCAAGCATGGACGCCGCCATTGCTTGATACCGATGGCAATGAGACTGCCAAGCTTATGCCAGGGACAAAGTTGGGGCAGTCTCATTGGCATCGTTAACGAGCAATGGTGGCACCTATGCTTGCTTAACAGCGGTGGTCTTTGGTGATGCCAACGTGTGTTTTCGACTTTGTCGCCATATTTTCAGGTTCTGAAAATGCATCAAAATGTTAAAGATTAGGTTTACTGTATAGCGATAAATATCTGAGCCTCGAATCGAATCGTGAAATTTCGTTGAAACGGGACGGCAGAAGAAAAAGTGTTTGTTCTGGGGACAATATTTATGCATTGACTCCTACGGGCTGCTGGCGGGGAACCGTGAATTTTTTCGTTGTAGCGGGAATTTCGTTGAAGCGGAGTTCGCTGTAGCGGGGCTCGGCTGTACTTATATTCCCGATGAAATACTTGAAACAATACTGAGAGAAGAAAATAAAATGGCGCGATTCGGACCGAAATCGAACACCAACGACACTGCGCCACGAAATCCACATGGTAGGGCTGTCTAACAACCACCGCAGACAGTGACATGATATTCTTGCAGCATTCCCTTTAAAAAAAAAAGCAAAACATCTGAAAAGAGGAATTCGAACTGACGACCTGCGCGCTTCTTTAACTGAGCATCAAGCCACTACGGCACCAGAACATCTAGATGGTAGCGTGTTTGATAAAAAAAAAAAAAGCTACCAATAACTAAATGAATATGCGTGGTTTCTGAGAGAGAATGTAACTGTAATGAAGTTTAACAAAATCTGTAGGCTGACATGAGGCAGTTTAGAAAAATATTAGTCACTGGATTTTTATGCATTTTTGCGGAAGACAACGCAGACACTGCACTGAGGGAATCTGTGTATATGATGGAGGCTGGATCTTTCTTCTTTAACATGTGCCTTATAGCTAGCAGTATGCCATAGCACTCGGCAGTTAATATGCTGGTATGTTCATTCATAGTTGCAGATTCAGAGTACGCTGGCCCATATGCAGCACATGCGACGGTAGAGGATTTGGAAGCATCAGTGTAGTACTCAGCACACTTGTATTTTGCCTGCAAGTACATAAAATGCTGATCGATTGGGACTGGGAAGCCATGCTTTCCTACCTCTAGGAATGACAAGTCACGATTGATAGCCCGCAATTTGTATATGGTGGAGGCTGGATCTTTATTCTTTAAGATGTGCCTTATAGCTAGCAGTATGCCATAGCACTCAGCAGTTAATATGCTGGTATGTTCATTCATAGTTGCAGATTCAGAGTACGCTGGCCCATATGCAGCACATGCGACGGTAGAGGATTCGGAAGCATCAGTGTAGTACTCAGCACACCTCTATTTTGCCTGCAAGTACATAAAATGCTGATCGATTGCGACTGGGAAGCCTTACTTTCCTACCTCTAGGAATGACAAATCACAATTGATAGCCCGCATTTCCCATGGTGCCACAGTGTCCTTGTGGGAGCCTAGTTAAAGATTGGAGACGGGTATATGCAGATTTTGAAAGTGTGAGGCCACTCTGATGGGATACGTTGGCGTAGCTGATGGTCGCCTCAAAAACAGGTGGGTGTTCGATGTATCCTGCAATAGCTCGCGAGATGGGTGGTCGACGTGGGAAAGCACCTTTGTTGCATACTTGATGCATGTGAGAGCTGCCGTCATCGTTCTAATGACCACCGATCTGTCTCAACATACAGGCTGACTGTTAGGCTGGTTCGGAAAGCACCACTAGCTAGATGAAGCCAATGGTGATACACTGGGTCGAGCATCTTGCGGATCTCGATGCTGATTTGTATACAACCGAGCCATAATCAATATTTGAGAGCACTACACTACTGTGAAGGTTTAATAGACAGTCATGATCTGTAGCCCATGACTGACACCGAGAGAATCTTGAACAAGTTCAAGGCTTTCAAGAATTTCAGTCGCAGCTGCTTGATGTGTGGGACAAAGCTGAGCTTTTCATCCATCACAACACCTAGAAATTTATGATCCTTCTTAGTAGCAATGGTGTGTCCGTTCATTGAAATGTTGAGGGATGGCCTTTTGCCACGTAGTTTTGAAAAGAGTAGGCAAACAGTCTTGTCACAGTTAAACTTAAAACCATTTTTGTCTGCCCAGCTTGACAGCTTATTTACTGCCAACTGAATCTGACGTTCGCAGATAGCTAGGTTGCACAATTTGAAGCTGATCTGAATGTCATCCACATATACAAAATAGGAGATTGTTTTAGGCAGTATACTGTTTATGGAGTTCATTTTTACGATGAATAGTGTGCAACCAAAAAATGCCACATTGGGGGACATCATTTTCCTGCGTAAACCGCTTTGAAAGGACATTTCCAACACGAACCACAAACATACGTTCAGAGAGGTAGATTTCAATTGTATTCAGCATGTTCCCCAACACTCCAAGAGATTGCAAGTCACGGAGAATGCCATAACGCCATGTCGTGTCATAAGCGTTCTTCAAGTCGAAAAATACAGAAAGGCAGTGTTGTTTGTAAATGAAGGCATCCCTGACGTAGAATTCGAATGCTACCAGTTGGTCAGTTGTCGACCAACCTGATCTGAATCCAGCTTGACGACGGTCAAGGAGGCCATTATATTCAAGGTAATACATGAGGTGGCGGTTTACCATTTTT